ATATTAAGGACCGGAGGAGTATATGTGTACGAATATACCGAGGGACCCTATGTAATCTAAATAAAGTAGCCCATAATAATCATCATATTGTGTAAATTAAACTGCTTAAAGAATTATGGAAACTAGTTTATTAGGATAGGCTGTAATTAGTGGTTCAAAAGACCCTTGTTTACTTTAGAGATCCCCTGACTAAAAGAGAACGAATATAAATCAATCATTTTTCTTGACTTTGGTGCCAAATGTCCTCAAGGGAACCATATTTTACTGCCTTGTTGCTCAGTATTATATCGATTATATATATAGATCTGAGTTAGAGAAAATAATTTTTTTTAACATGCAAATTTACATAAAATTAAAGACTTAGCTTAAAAATTTTCAAGAAAAGGATATTACATCCAGGAAAAAAAAAGTTATTGAATACTTCAAAAACCCATGCAAAGTGACATATATTTAGAATCATAAATTTCTTTTAAAATGTGATTTATTGGAGCGGGAGGGGATGATAATTAATTAGGAAGACTGATTGTTTGATTTGGTATAAAAAACAACAACAACAAAAATAAAACCTTATATTTATGACCGAACGAAGACCCCAATGTTATATTTAGGACAAAAGGGAGTATTTTATTTCAAGCATCTTTAATAATTCACCAGTCAAACTACGTATAGTTCATTTTAATAAGACATCGTTTAGTGCTTATTATAACTGATCTGTAATACACACAGAAAGTAAGGTGCAGAACCGTTGTTTGTATTCACAATTAGCACACAAACAGACATATCACACACACATGTTGTGGTCAATGCTCATTAATTACCATATGAATTGCCGAATTAATAGGAATGGAAGAATATATATCCTAGTTTTATAAGCAGTGTCGTTTTGCGTCTTTAAAATTATTGATTATATTTGGTGTTTGGACATACATATATTATAAAATTAGAAATCCTATCCTACTAGTTTCGCTTTATTATAATTTAAACGCTTGAGATTAACAAGACATATATATTCCTCTGGTCATACTTACAACACAGATAAAGAAGACATTTTTTTTATCATACTTATAGGCTAGTGAGTATAATTTTACCTTTTATTTATTATTGTGTTGATTTTGTTTATATGAGTTATAATGTATATTAAATAGAGATAAAATTAAAAAGTTATTAAATTTTAAACAAGAGTTAATGAAGTTTAAAGTTTTTCTTGGTCTGTGCGAAACATATTGGAAGTGACTTATACATAGGACCAGATAAGTACATACATACTATTACCTTCAGTCCTTGATATAAGAATTAATTTGACATTTAATTTAGTTCTTAATATAAGACCACAATCTTCTTTATATATCATATTTATCTATTTTTTCTAAAGTAGTTATTGTGATAGTTGCACATATTAAATAATGTTTTATCAAATAGTAGTTCTAACTAATACATATGTTATAAAAAATTAATTAATCAGTTGGACACATGATTGGCAAAGATATTCTATGGAAAACAACACCTAATTATTAAAAATAACTAACTTAAAAAACTTTCTTACTCTACTCAAATTAAATAACTAGATTTTATATTAAGAATAGGAGATATTCTATATATAAAACAGAGTAATCCCCTTGGGGAAAATGACACACACACACACAAATCTTTATATAAAGAGAAAATGGACTAAATTAATAAACGTGGATCCCGCGAGGATCCAATTCTTGAAAATCTCGAGCTAAACGAATTAAAATGAGTCCAAAATCGTTCACTATCCAAGAGCACTCAATAAAGTCAAGTATAGTGGTAGTTATGGTATCTGTGTGTTATTTGTTCATAACTAAAATTAAACATATTAATTAAAAAAAATATTTTTGCAGTTAATTACAAATATAGATCATGCATGACTAAGATTCTGAAATTGAGAGAAATGATTTTATATAGATACACAACTTTTCAATTTACAAACATACTATATAGGAAATCAGCGGGTAATAATGTCTTAAAATTCTAAAAGTATGTATAAGGATACTAATATACTCAGATAATGCAACATGTACGCATGTGTTTAGATTGAAAAGAAGCCTGTTAACGGCGATGAAGGCGGTAGGAATATATATATATAAAACTGACACTTTATTTTCTGATCGAAGTCATTAATTAACACTTCACTGATTCAATTGGGGTGGTGATTTTTTTTTAATTATATATATCACTAATCCAATCAATTTAATCCGTATTCCTTGGGAACAAAAAATTAGGGTTTCGAGCACATAAATGAGTTGCGGAACATATCGTTCATTATTAGTTGAGATTTGTGCCTTAGAAGCATCTAAACTCTGTCTCATCAAACATTTCATATTTATATATATTCTAATTATTACTATGATATAAACTAATCCTTGGTCGTCTAAGTTTTCCCATGCTCAAGGAGGAATCTTATGTTTATTTATTACTAACTATTCTGTTTTTGTTCGCTAACATAAAATTATTCTTAGTTTATTATCAAACCTACATTTCACCTTCTTAATGTGTTTATGTGTGCATTGTTGGAAACATAATTTCCCCGAGACATATTACCAACAACAAGGTCAAGTAAAAGAGACTTGGTTATATCCTTAAATAAGTTTGAGAATTAAACCTTGTAGATATATATCAAGGAGGAAAACCCACATTGTTGTATTGAAAAAAAAATTTTAAAATTAAATTCAAATGAAGTAAAATTAAAAGATAAAACTAAGAGACTATACAAATGATTTTTTAAATAAAAAAGGTCAAATTTGAGCATTTTTTATTAAAAAAAATAGGTAAATTGGATTTTTGAGGCTTACCAAGAACATATGTCAAGGCTCACTAGAAGCAGAGACATGCCTTGAAACTTAAAAACGAGGAGTTGCAGCCGCAAAATAAAAACGAGGAAAGGAAAAGAAGGTTGGCCCCGGGGGGGTTGTTGGGTGGGTTGGATTTGGATCTGATAATTCTTACCGACAAGATGGGTCATAAATTGAAGCCGTAAAAATGTTATTATTTTTGAAGAGATAAACGTAAAATAAGCCAAACCCATTAATGCCTCTCAAAACCAGTCAAATCCATTACGTTGCATCCTTTGAACCACACAAAATTCAGCAGCCCCAGCACCCCATGCCTCCTGCAATCAATCAATCACCCTTTAATCACTTGGGACCATACATATGCATATATGTATATATCTCATTTAATTTCCTCCCCCATGTGGCTTTTAAAATTATGAAAATTTTGTTTTGTTTGATGTTTATAGATAATATTGTGATTCATTCTCTGGAATTTTATTCTAAACATGCATAAAGTAATTAAGAAAAAAGAGAATATAATGATATGAGATGATCTGATATTACTAAGGGAAGGTCGTGGAGGTTTGTGTGTAAATTAAGCATTGAGTCGACATGATCGTAACAGTTTTGATTCTCATTCCTGGTTGATAATAATGGAATCTTTGATGGAGTTGGGATCACTGGTTGAAAATTTCTCATTTCCACCATCACTAATTCAAAAGCCTACTCCAAAGATGACCACTCCTTTTAATTTCTAGTATAAAATTTCCCCAATCTATCTACTAATATTATCATCATCATGACAACTCTGAGATGGGAGGAGAATTTAGCGAGTTGATTGATCATTTGGGAATTATGGAAAGAAAGAAGAAAGGTTGTGCATGCGGATGATGATGATCATGATAAGCAGAGTATGGGAATAGTAGAGCAGGGCAAGGCTTTTGAGACACTTGGGATAATATCTGAATCATATATAGCTTTCTTTCTATATATTAATCAAAGGTGTATGACCATTGGAGGATCATCACTTTCAATAATATTCTCTAAATCATTTCAGGTGTCATTTTTTTTTTTTTTTTGCTATCTTCTTATGTGAAACCGAAAATTCGTGTTTGAAAATAGACCGCAAATTAATTAACAAAGAATATTTGCTGCTTGATTGAAGCCCCCACAGAATTGAAGTCCTAAAGTAGCAAAAGCCCCTTTTTCTATTTGAGTCATTAGCTATAACCAAACAGGCATATAGGATATATCCTTTTCCTTTCGGAATAGCAAAGAATGGGGAAAATGCATTTTGAAAAAACACAAAGATGAGACACATTGAATATTTTCAAAGGGAGAGGAGCAATAGATGAAGGAGGGGCCCCACAGATCTAGAGGGGGTCTTGACTGTAAGATAATATGCAAGATTTTGACAAGAACCCATTAACACAATTTTTGGCTTTGTCCCCTTTCTTGTTACAATTTTTCTTGCCTCACTTTGTACAAAATCCACTCATTTATTCTCCTTTAAGAATAAAGTTACACACACACACACACACAGAGAGAAGGGTGGGCCTACAAAGACATCTTTGTCTTAGGCTCCTAATCAAACAGGGTATAGATGGGCTTGTCCAGCAACAAGGTTTGCACCAGGCCGGAGTAAATTATATTTCCTATTGTGATAATAGATGCAAAATTCTAGAACCCACAGGGGCAAGTTATAAAATGCAATACCTACAAGTCTAAAACTGACCAATGACGCTAGTACACCCTATTATGTCTAAAATGCAACAAGTGTCTCGGGGTGTTTTCCCTTTGCCGGATTCTGGGCCTGACTCCGATTGAAAACCAACAAAAACGAAATTACAATATCAGCTTCAGAAATGCCTACAGGGTGGGACATTTGCCCTTTCGGCCATTGGAAGCAGAGCAACGTCAGGCAGCCTGGTATAGAACGAAATTATAAATTCTTCAGGCAAAGCGCGGCCCAAGAGTGGTTTAAGGCAATCAAGACCCCGCTCTGAGGTACCCCGCAAATATTCAGGCATACCATCCACGTCGAAGGAATATAATTGCTTTCCCCCACAAACAAAAACAAAAAGAGGCCCTTCTTTTAATGCTTGCAAGAATCCCAATTAATTTCGATGGATTACAATGGTGTCGTTAAATCTATGGAGTGGAGTGTGCGTAATATCTAAGAACGAAATTCAAATCGCGAGCTTAACAAACAAAGATGAAGCAATTGAGATAAAAGTGGAATTACATTGAACTGTAATCCAGTAGTTATAGGTACAAAGATACCTATTGCTACAAAAAGAATGGATGAACATCAGGTAGGGGAAGCAGCAGAAAGCACTTAATCAGATATTAATGGGGAGACCCTAACAATAAGAGACCTAAATAAGTGATCAAAAGAAAACAAATTTACATGGGTTTTCACTAAACCAACTTTCTTCTATTTTTCCTTTTTGGGGGGCGAGGTTGGTTTTCATTTCTAGCATGCAGGATAGCTGCAGAAGGGCAGAGTTAGAAAAACACCTTGGCCCGAGAGAACACAAGGGATCGGCACCCGTGCAGATTGCCCGAATCTTAGGCCCTGCAAAAAGAATGTGATATCTTTTATCCTAAATGGTTAATATCTTTGCCGCTGCTTCCAGAATCAAATCACTTTGAATTTTGTCGTGTGGTTAGAAAAAGCCCATTAGCTGATTGACGATGTTAGCGAAGTCAGAATCTGCAAAGGTGTAGGCCCAGCCAGCGCTGCGTTACCATTTAGAGGCAAAACCGGGACTCTCTAAGCTCAAGAATGAAGAAGGGCCTCGGACTTTAAGGCGCTTTGGCCCAATCTCTATAGGAGGTCGTTCCCTAATTGCCTGCGGGAACCTATCTTTCCTGCGGTGATCTCGCTCCCTACCAACTCCCTCATTGCCCAGCTTCTTATACCTTATAGAAATGGGAATGCCATTTCCCCCTGCAAATTTGTCCTTCAGCAATCTTTCACCTTCAAATTTCCGTTTCATCGGGTGACTCATTTTGTTACTTGAATCGTTGCTTCTGCTGCAATCCACTGGCTGGGACGGGCTACTTCCTTCATTAACTTTCTTCAATCGTTTATGCCCCTGCTCGTACGCACCCAATCAGTCATTACATTATAATCCATGAATTTGCAGAGGAAAACATGATAATAAACTCGAAGACCAGCACTTGAAAACTCAAATACACAGAAGTTCACCAGCTTTACATGATGGACTCAAAAAAAAAAAAAAACACTTCGGATGAAGTATTTGAAAATACCTGTTGGTCCGAATGCTTGAAAGACATGGTAGCATTCAAATTTCTCTTCTCTGCCTTCAGAGAAGATGGCCGCTTTACCCTAAATATCTCTGAATCAGAATCGCTATCCTCTTTATCCACAATGGGCGTCGTCTCTAATTCATCAAGATTGCGCTGAGATTTACTTGAGGTTTCGTGACACCGTGCTGAGGATAGTAAAGATTGGCATGCGCTATTCGATACTCCATAACATTCTCCGGAATCAATATAGCCTGAACTAAAGTAAGCATGCCCATCGTCCTGTTTCAAAATAAAAATGACGGAACGGGATTGTTGGTTCAGAATTTAAGTTCAAGTCCCTACACAGTGAGATGCAATGACAAACAAAAAGCGCAACGATGTTCAAAAAGTAGGTGCGTATGACTTACATTGTTCAGAGCAGAAGACCTATTAATCGGTTCTGAAATAGAACACAGGGTGGATGCAGCAGAAGAAAAAGAAGCCTCGTAGACTTCTGGTCTAAGATCTGGGCAGTGCCTCGAAAAAAGTTGACTTTGTAGATTGAGCTCGGGATTACTTGTTGCCTGATCTGGGGTCAAATAATGTTCAATAACAGGATCAAATTCTATCTCGCAATAAGGAGTATATCCATTTGCTTCAGCTCTCTGGAACATATTTGACAAAGGATATGAATACATGTTATTGTCACCCTTGGTTTGCTTAAGAATCTCATCCACGATTCCACCTTCTTGCTCAAACCTCTTGGCTGCAGCTTCCAGATCACTAATATCCTCCCTCACATAAAGAGTGTGTTGGCTCCCACAGGCGAAGCCAAGAGCTTTAACATCTGCATCATAAAAATTTCATTTAGCCAAGAGCTTCAATATCTGTATCATCAAAACTTCATTTAATAAACTAAAAGATGCCAATACCTAGACCATCAAATAATAAGCATATGTGATGCAATCAACCAAGATTCATTAATGATTCCAAAAATATATTTTGATCCCAAATGATGATAATGCTCTTCTCATTTCATGGTATGAGTAACTGACAATTGATATAAAAACCTATGATATCCAACATGAATAGTAAAACAGTATTTGTAATTGATAAAGACTTGGCAGTATGGGGTGCTCAATCAAGTATCTAAGTTAGTTCTCCCACGTGTCCCATCCCACTTGAATACTCATCAAGTGATATCAAAGTCAGATTGTTGGCAATTCAGTTCTGACTCGTAGGAAATAAATTATTATACTTCAAATAAGCGTGAGTCAACCCAATTATATTTTGTATGGGCTATTAAAATAATATATTTGTGAATAGCATAGCTCATAACATACCATGGCGAAGGCACACCAGGTGCATGTGACACTCACAGTCTACATATGCAACATAACAATCCCGTTTGCAGAGGCTACAGAGAATTGTGCTGTGGGAATGTGTAAAAACACTCGAACAAGCCCTCGATTTCATTAGAAGCCAACGAGCACAATGCTGAAAGCGTATTAGGTTCACAAAAGAAATCTTTATGCAATTATGAGCCGACAGATCCGCAGAGGGAAAGTCTGAAACTTCAAGTTCTGAGTTTGTATGAAGAAGCATTGCTTCTTTGCATACTAGTTCTTCGTGAGGCAGTAAAGGCATCCTGTTAAGAAGTGCATATCGCTGGCTAGCAATAGCTCCTAAAGGAAACCAATCACCAATTGCAAAGTTCACTGCTTCTCCACAGTTGAAACCTAAAATTTGAGGGGGAAAAAGATGTGAATAGATATATTTGAATTTCAGACATTATATTAATATCTAGAGCGGAATGCTTCCTTTTTGTAACAAAAAAGTATTTTAAGTGTGAACCTTACCGTGACTAAATCCGGCATGATATGCTCTAGGAAAAGTTATTACAAATTCCCCCGGCTTTTGAACGGCTTTATAGACAGGCACTTCATTATCCAACAAAATATTTGGAGGGAACAGAGTTGTTTTCCCCAGAAGAACATCAAAAGCTCCATCCTCCCCATCATTAGAAAGAATATCTTTGGAGTACACATGTTCTCTCACCACCCTTTCAAAATCCAGAGCTGCATGACCTGGAATGCCATACCAAGTTTTTGGCGCCCCGCAGTGATGATAATTTATACTGCCATCGGAAAAAAATAATGGATAAATATAATTATTTAGGCATAGAAAGCAGGTAATTTCACTTGTCTTAATACTCCTCCGGTCCTTAATATAGGACCTAATTGTTGAGTTGATTTTGGTCATAAATATGAGACTTATTTTTCATATTTATTAATTTTTTCTAAATTACCCCTATGGATTTTCTTCAATTATAATCGAGTAGAAAAAGGAGAGAGGATATTAAGTAAGATGATTACCGTGTTTTAGGAAAAAGTTGTCATATTTCTTATAATTAACTAACTTACCTAACTTCCTTAATCTAATCAAATTAGTTAAATAGATCTTATATTGAGGACCGGAGGAGTATTATGCTAAATTTATCATGAAAGCACGGGACATTTACCTGTACAAATAATGATCTTCCACATGCCAAGCAAACATACTGAAGAGCATTCCAATGTATAGCATGGGTTCTGTTACTCCCTGAAATAAACTCAAAAGGTGTTAAAGGGAGAAGTACGATTGGGGGGGGAGGGAGAGTATTAAAGCATAAGATAACTGACATACCGGAATTGCTGTTTCCAAGAGGCGCAAAATGGACTTGGGCAACCGTGAAACTTTCTGAGACCAAACAAAAATTTGTACTTTAGTTGATGAAAATGTCAAATCAATCAGTTCATCAAAAATATCAGAAGATTGTCCAGACTAAATAAGACAAGAAAGATATTGGTAAGCACAGGAAACAGGGGAATGTTACAGAAGTATTTAGAAGGTAGACACAGTATATCATAAGGAGCTGCTAAACAAGATCATATCGTAAAGGCAAGTGATACAACAATCACCATATAAAGACAATTCTTTCACGCAAGACCCTTTCAATACCATTGTCATTTGGTAATGATCCTGTGACTATTTTTGTGAAACTGCGAAGCAGAATTAGCAACAAAAAATATTTTCCAAGATCACCGTTCAACAAAGTAGCAAAATTAAAAGGAATGATAACACGAAAGATTTATGTGAAATGACTGTCAATCACATTACAATAAGCGAATACAGCATTTCATTCTTAAGCAATCAGGTACAGAACAAATAGAACCACAAGCAAGAGGCATCTTTCAACTGGATTTTCTACTCTGTAAATATAGAAGACAAGCAATCATAAGAGAACACAATAAGAAATAAGAGAAACTAGTAGAATTAACACCTTTAAATTCCATTTGCTGTTCCCAAGCTGATCAGTAGGAGAAGACGAAAAAGCACTACCATCAACATCACATGCATATTCAACAGTTTCCATCTGTCCACAAGCAATTTCATGCCAAAACTCTTTTTCCAAAAATGTGGCGGGAAGACATCCAGCACTAGAATATCTATGCTCAAAAACTCTATTCGCCATTTTCTCAAAATCACGGAACGTATAATTGCTGAAAGAATTGCAATTGTATTAAAAACCAAAAGAAATAAGATCATTGAAGATTTAAATATATGCATTCACAAAACTTACCTTCCACTCAAGAAAAATGTGACTTTGTCTTCAGTGTCCCACTCAGCAAGCCGAAGAGGCTGTACTCTAGTTGTGAACTTGAATCCTGCTTTCTCTTTCATTAAAACAACTCCAGCAGGAACAGACGCACTTAGAGGTGAAATAATCTTGCATATACCTGAAGTTTAATAAAAATTAAACGTAACTTTACTATTAACACACACTCAGTATTGATGGCCCCCACCCCTAAAAAATTATGTTTGAAAAAGTGACACGGGGTGGGTAGTGAAATGACCATCCAAGCCCTTGATTAATACCATTAATTCAAGATCAAGGAAAAATATTCAATAGAACATACCATATTTTGAAGCTTCTGGAGCTATCTTTTGCAAGTAAACCAGAGGATCCTCAAATTCCTCTTTTGTCGGAGAATACACAGGACATTCTGGAATTTTCTCAGTCCATTCAAGATCACTTGTCTCAAACTTATTCACCTTCCGCTTGGAGAAAACATCTGCATTGCCATGAAACCTGACCCCACATGAAGTGGAAGCCCTTAAAGCATCTCCTCCGCTTCTAGTCATTGTGCTAGCAATAGCTGTTTCAGTGGCAGTGATGAGTTTTGCCCGTTGAAGCCTTTTACGCTTCAATAATTCTAGCCCATGTCTAGCTTCCTTGGATAAAGAAAGTCTTCTTTCCACCTAAGAGACAATTCATCAATTAACACTCAGCATAGCGTGTACATAAATGGAAGAATTACAGCGATAATTACATGCCTATGATAAGTAAAATTATCTCAATGACTTCAAACTCAACAAGTGCATTGCATACAGTTAGCTTTAGCATCATGAGATTGAGGTATATGCATCATCAGAAGCACTGAAACAATACATTAAATGGTCCAAGAAGTAAAACAAAGACTTTCGAAGCAACAAGCCAGAGGAGCATGGACATTGAGTCACATGACCGGAGATAACTGTATCCCTTCCCTCAAACCCTCCCTCACAGAGAAGGATAGTACTAATTGAGCCTATTTGCACCTTCAAATCATTTCTGATGCAAGGACAAAGAACCATTTGGCATTGAGAAGGAAACAGCAACTACTACAAGGGCTTGATACTTTTTACAGGGGCGTGCCATGTCTGACATATGTTGGACGAGGACAGAAATCCTATGTTTATTTAAGCTCCCGAGCTCCATGCATCTATATCCATATGTGTAACTCCAGCTGGAATGGGGAGAATTGAAGAGGTGCATTTTGAACTCTAACAAGCAGCACCAACACCCAAAACAAAAAAAACAAAAAAAAAAAAGGCTGGAGTATTACCAATTTACCCCTGAGAATTCAATAACAACATGACCATGGCTTTTAATCATCACTCAATCAAAGTCATACACGAGTACTAACGTCACAACTTATAGATGATCCTTAGCCAAACGCAAATCACCTCCTTCGGCAAAATAAATCGCTAAGAACAAATTTGACCCGCCTACTTGATGACTAGACTTTCACCGACTGGAGTTTTTTTGACGAAAAAACGTTTCGCTTATACCCCGAATCGAGCAAACATAAGCCGGTCAAACGAAAATGATCCCAAAGAAACATTCAACAAACGCATGCGCCGAAAATTGAATAGTTCCTCTTCCTAAAATCATTATTTCCCATCTTACCACAAGCCAAACGAACAATAAGTAATATTAAGCATCTATGTGTATGTGAAAGGCCAAAAATCAGAGGAAATTTTTTGTAAAAACAGGAGGGGAAAAAATGTAAATTATTAAACATCGAGGAACACAAATCTCTGAATTCTTTTTCTGGAAAGAGAAGGGAAACGAAAAAGGAATTAAAATAATTAAATAAACCCCATTTTTCCTAATTTGCAGATGAGGTCTTCCGTTCATATATAGATGCGAGGAAAAGGGCAAAAGTCCATTCTGCATAATGCACCTTAAGCGTCAATACAAAACCGGAAACGCATCAACCTTTGAGCTCATAAATTCAAATTACATGGTCTAACAGGAAAATCATCACTCAGAAGGAAGAAAAAGGAAAATCATATCTAAAGCGCACATAGCATAACAATGTCTGAGATCTGAACGATGGAGCAAAAGAAAATGCACTTTGAAGAGAACAGGGGCTTCTATAACCAAATTATAAGATAAGGGGAAAATTAAGGAAAACCGTTGACGTACCATTTCATTACGAAGTCGGTCCTTGCAGGTCTCCGTCTTTACACACTTGAAGGAGAAATCGCGAAAACAATCACAAACTATATCCAAATCCCAGTGGTAAACCCTAGATCACGATCCTTACGGTTACAGATTAAAATAGAGTGTTCAAAGACAACCAGACTCGCCACATTCTCGCAGAAAGAAGAATACAAGGGTGAAACCAGCTCACAAGAGAGATCCAAGCGCTTTCACGACCAACCACGAGTGAAAAAATGAAAATAAAAATGCGCCGATTGGAAAGTGGTAAGCAGCGTGCTCTGAAGTGACAGAATAGGGCCGCCGGTAATGGTGATAACTCACCGGCCGAAGGAAGAGGTTTTCCGGCGACGTATGAAACAGAGGAAAACAGTGGATGAGGAGAGAGAAGAAACGAATGCTTAGAAAACCGAAAAAGAGCACGGAAGGGATAATTTATAGTTTTATACTCCAAAATATGAACACCTTTATTATTTGAGTTCTGAAAACCGAATGAAATTTTTGTCCTGGAAAAAAAAAACGAAAGAAAACCAAATGAAATTGGATTTTTCTTTTTTCCTTTTAAAAAAATGATTCTCTGTGTTTATAAAAAAAAAAAAAAAACTGAATCAAACCAACTCAGAGAAGAAATGTGAGCCAGAGTGGTGGTTGGTTGGTGGTTCAACCAAGAACTTGCCGTCCAAAACGCGTTTATCACCTCTCGCGTTTCAGGGTAAACAAAACGGAAGAGGCTTCCCCCGTCTCGTGTGTTATGACGGAATTATCGTTATAAATTGTGAAATTTATTGGCGGGTACGGGAGGAAATAAACGGATTCACGCCTGTTAGCTTTAAGGATATTTCGGTAAATTCACAACGAGGGCGTTATCGAAGAGTTCTGGTTCCTGTACCGGTCAGAGAACAGAAAGTGGCAGGAAAGACGGAATTATCACGTGTGCCGAAATAGAATTCAATGTCCTACAGTAAGTTTAGATCCAACCGTCTATCTCGAGATCGTTTACTTTGAAAGGGTCAACGAACGCAAATTCTCTGGAATCTGAAATACCAAGCGGCGTGTGTACTTTTTTTGTTCAACTGCCGACACGTACAGGATAATTCTTACCTACCTTCCAGTTAGTTAGTTCCGAAATGAAAAGACGATTTTCTCCTCGTTTGGTTCCGTTTAGTTAAGAGAAAGGTAGAAGGGCGTTTTCGACCTCACAGGATGTCACATGTGGGAGCGGCCAAGTCAGTTCTGCGATGCAAAGTGAAAAAAAACCCGATGTGCAGTTTCAAGGGACAGGCTGAAGGCGACACGTGGCGTGCGTTGTGAGAGGAGAGAAATACGTTGCAGGAGGAGGAGGAGGCCACGGTTTCGCGGAACTTTTGTGTTACCGCGGGTGGTGGCCAGAATGGAAATAGCTGGCCGTTACAATAGGTTTTGGGGGGCCCAGGCGCTGAAGGTCACGAGAAATCCCTTGTGCGGGATGCGAATGGCTAATTCTTATTCTTTAATTTATAATTAATTAATTAATTATTAATTAATATTGGTGATATGGAAATCCACCTGGGAATCTCGGTTTCCGGTGGGCATTCTCTCTCCTCTTCTCACTGGTTGGTTTTGCATTGGAGCTTTTTGTTACGCGGAGGTTGGGCTAATCATTTACTTTTTCCACACTCGGGGAAAACGAAAACGAAGCTTTGAGAAGGTCTTCTTGGCGTTGGCGGCTCGGCTTTGAACCGGGTCAACCTTTCACACGGTCTGGTCTCGGCTCGGCTCGGCTCGGCGCAAGTAAACTTGTTTTTGTGATTTTGTCTTCCTTCTGGGCCGAAGAAAAAGAAATGAGAAAGTGAAATTGGAATTTACGTGATTGGATAGCAGGAAGTGACAAAAGAGGTCTTTTGTTGAGAATTAAAGCAAGGGGGACGCATTAAATGACGATTGTGGGCAGGGGGACGAAGCTTCCGTGCTTTGCGTGCAAGCCGAGATTGGGAAGGGTTGGATTTCTCCGAAGGAGGGCATTTTGGTAACATCGCAGGCGGTGGGCGGGTTGGGTTTGAGTTCGTTGACATGAGTAGGGAGGAAGATTCTGGTTATCCTTCGCTCTTTTGTACGCCTAATGAACAGCAGCAGGGAATGGAATTGTCCCTTTTCTCTTCAATGGAATTAAATATATTTTGTAGACTTTTTTTAATAAAGTCACAAATATGACAAGGAAATTAAATGGGTTTTGACTTTTGACCTATCGTTACCGGGAGGCCTCTTCCTCTGTTAAAATAAATAAAATCGTCAATGAAACACTTTGACGAGTTATTTGTCAATGATTATACTATTCATCAATTTATCAAAAATAGGTTTGTTCGTTTGAATAAAAAATATTGGAAAACAAGGCATAGTTTAGACGTTTACTGCAATTCAGTTGTCAAATAAAATAAATAAATAAATAAAAATTTAAAGCTGCGTTTCATCATTATACTTTTACAATCCCAATTGGAATCACCAGAAATCATCGGAATATTTGAAATAAAATCAAGCATATGAAGAAAATTCAATCGGCATTTCTAATGCGTTTTTTCTTTAATTTATTTACCAGAATGCCCATTTATATAATTTATGAAGTCTAGCTCGCAAGCTGCATAAAAAGGCCTTTTTTTTTTTTTAGCCAACGCATAAAAAAGGCTTATACATGGATAAATTGCATTAATTATCTATATTACGCCAAAGAGGTACGATATTGACTGAATTAAAGTGTAAAGGAAAATATGGACAAAAAATTGGAAGTCCATATAGGCACAGACGCGACAGGGATAGCAATAGGCTTAATAATGCCTTAATGTGGAAGAAGATGAAAAGGCATTAATTAAGGAAAGCTCATGAATTTCCCAGATCTGGTACCCTAAAATGTACTTTGAATGATAGAAACCCTATTATTTTTATAACTAAATCGGATTAAATATTTTTTCCCTAAAATGGAACCGAAAACAAAGGGGGGCAAATCTTGGTGCAAAAGATTCGGAGCAAGCTAATAATAAGAAAGAAATCATGGGGGAAAGCCGCTTTTTGGATAGTGTCGCATTCTGAGTGGTGGACTGATTCCTTAAGCAATCATTATTTGGAAAACAAATGAAATAAACAAAACACCAATAGAATGAATCAAATCAACCTATTCCAACTTCATTAAACAAACCCACCCAGCTGGTCAAAAAAAAAAAAAAACAACCCACCCATAATAATAATAATAACAACAATAACAATAATACTTTCAGTCTTTAATATAATAGTTAATTTTGACATTCAATTTGATAATAAATATGATATCTCAACCTACCTTGTTTTTTATATTTGTTTATTTTTTTTTAAGATAGTCATTGTAAAAGTTATACATCGTAAAAATTTCATCAAATGATAATTCTAACTAATATTACCTTCGGTTCTAATTATAATACCTCGTTCTTATAATTAGAACCAGAAGTAGTACACATTATTAGTAAGGATATTTTAAGAAAGACAACACATATTTATTGTAAATAACTAACTTAACTAATTTTTATAATCTACTCAAATTAGTTAAAATAGTTCTTGTATTAAATACAAAAAATAATACTCCTCCGGTCCTAATTATAAGACCCAATTGACTTATCTGAGGAGATTAAGGAAGTAAGTTAAGTTGGTTATTTATAATAAATAAATGTTGTCATTTCTAAAATATCCTTGCTAATTAAGTATATTGGCTAAAACTATCATTATTAGAAGGATTATCTTGGAAAAAAATGCATAAATATAAAACAAAATAGATTGGGGTCTTATATTGAAGACTAAATAAAAAGTCAAATGGGGTCTTATAATAAGGACCGGAAGAGTAGTTATAATAGGAGTAATAGTAATAAGTCCTTACCTATTTTATAACTACCCAATCAAGCAGTCTTTTTACCTACGCAGCCCACATCAACCCTCTGTTTTACCTAATATATATTCCCTCCCTAACATGCTCTCAGCTTCAAAACAAGTAATAATAATATATATATAAAAAAAAAAAAGGGCATCCGCTTATAAATTATCTCACCATTGAACGGAACCACTCAAATAATGTTGGGATGTAGTTGGTACCAATGTTTATTTTACCAAGTATTTTTTTTTTTTATAAAAACTCATTTCTAGCTGACATATAAATAATAGAGAGCTTGTAGCATACTACCTCCGATCCTAATTATAAGATCCAGTTGACTTATTTGAGGAGATTAAAGAAATAAGTTAAGTTAGTTATTTATAATAAATAAGTGTTGTTATTCCTAAAATATCCTTGCTAATTAAGTGTATTGGCTAGAACTATTATTATTAGAAGGACTGTCTTGGAAAAAAATGCATAAATATGAGAGGCAAAATGGATTGGAGTCTTATAATTAGGACCAAACAAAAAGTCAAATGGGGTCTTATATTAAGGACCGGAGGTAGTACTCCTCCGGTCCTAATTATAAGACCCAATTGACTTATTTGAGGAGATTAAGAAAGTAAGTTAAGTTGGTTATTTATAATAAATAAGTGTTGTTATTCCTAAAATATCTTTGCTAATCAAGTATATTGGCTAAAACTATCATTATTAGAAGGATTATCTTGGAAAAAAATGCATAAATATAAGAGAGAAAATGGATTGGGTCTTATAATTAGGACCAAATAAAAAGTCAAATTGAGTCTTATAATAAGGATCGAAGGAGTATTACTTTTAGAGTTTGCTATTTAACGTATTCATATTTCATACACACAGGCGCACATTCTTTTGTACTCCTCCGGTCCTAATTATAAGACCCAATTGACTTATTTGAGGAGATTAAGGAAGTAAATTAAGTTGGTTATTTATAATAAATAAGTGTTGTTATTCCTAAAATATCCTTGCTAATTAAATATATTGGCTAAAACTATCATTATTAGAAGGATTATCTTGGAAAAAAATACATAAATATAAGAGAGAAAATGAATTGGGTCTTATAATTAGGACCAAATAAAAAGTCAAATTGAGTCTTATAATAAGGACAGGATGAGTAATATTTAATTAATGGAGAGAAAACAAGTGGAGACGCAAATTGTGGGCACCCATGGGAAAGGAAAGGGGATTTGTTGATTAATTAATTAAATAATAATAAGAAAAAGAGGAGAAATAAAAGATTTGAATAAGAGGAATAGGTGGAAGGTGGGAGATGATTGGCAGTATGGATATACAAGTCAGGATCAGAGATACGCCGATGTTTCGTGTCTGGGAGTGGTAGGTACTTTAGTTGGACAAGAACGTATTGGAAGCATGAGGTGTCACGTGGTATTATGCTCCTCGCACGCTACCTGAAATCAAATAAAAAACGACGCTCTTTTTTTGTTTTTGAGGAATAAGTAAGAGTTGTTAATTTAATTGATAACGAACCAGTTCATAATTTTCCAGCCAAAAAAAAAAAATCAGTTCATAATCTATAAGATTGAATCCTATTACTAATATGAAAATCTTATTAATGAATAATGTGTCCTAAAAAAATTTACTGTCATGGTTTTAAATATAAAACTTATTTTATAATATAAATTATATAAAGTTGTCAAACTCACAAGTTTAAACAAACCTGTGATAAAGATATGAACTTGAATTGTAAACTCGAATCTTAAATTTGTAAGATTTTATTTTTATTAATAATTTAGTATAAAAAAATCAAATTAAATAA